TTGGCGTATTTCATAAGGAAATGGAAATGGAACTAAAGAAAGCAGCTAGTCTAGAGTCTAAGCCCTAAGTTTGCCTCTGTTTCAATGGCAAACCAGTCCAGTATCTTTGCCAAGAAAACCCCAAATGGGGTCAAGAAGAGTCAGACATGACTGAAAATGACTAAACAACAAAACCATGAAGTACAAAGAATAGAAGCCTATGCTAGAAGTAACACAATTTTGAGAGCTTTGAAGGATCTATCATCAAAATGCCTGAAAAAAGATAACAAAATTTTTGGGAATAAAATCTCAGACCTTATTATTGACAAGAAGATGACAGAGGATTTCAGAAAAACCTGGAAAGACTTACATGAGCTGATGCTGAGTGAAGTGAGCAGAACCAGAAGAACATCGTATACAGTAACAGCAACCTTGTGCAACAATCAACTTTGATAGACTTAACTCTTCTCACAATACAATGATCTAAGACAATTCCAAAAGACTAATGATAGAAAATGTTATCCACATTCAGGAAAAGAATTTTTTCTGATGCAATCTGAATGCAGATTGAAGCATACTACTCTCTCCTCTCTCTCTCTCTCTCTCTCTCTCTCTCTCTCTCTCTCTCTCTCTCTCTCTCTCTCTCTCCTTTCTTGTGGTTTTCCCCTTTTGCTCTGATTCTTCTTTCACAACATGAATAATGTGGAAATATGTTTAATATGATTGTACATGTATAAAAGAGATGACTCAGAAAATATTAGTAACTATTAGTCATTAATGCCTACTTTTGTATTTCTTCACACACAAAAACTGAGAATGACCTAAACAACACTTCAAAGGCATCCTTGGTGCAGTGGATAGAGCGCCGGTGCTGAGGTCAGGAGTGCCTGAGTTCAAATCCGGCCTCAGACCAAAAGCTTGACACTTATTAGTTGTGTGACCCTGGGCAAGTCACTTAACCCCAACTGCCTAAAAAACAAACAAAAAAAACCCCAAAGGCATCTTGATGAAGCACAAGAAGGGAACAGGCAGGCTGATATTCTTACAGCAGACCACATTTTTATAGTCTATAATTGGCTGAAAAGAGCAGTGAAAAGATCCCATAATGCTTATTGTTTGTTGACTACAAAAAGTATTTGAATCAAAAGAACAAAACTGTCTTATAGGCTCTCCTTCAACAAGGTGTTGTCTGTCTCCCGTGTATATCTCAAAATTATACACGGCTCCATTAAATATGTAACATCAGAGATAATTTTGTTTAGCCACAGATTCCTAACATCAAGTGAGGCATAAAACACAGAAACACGTTCACTTAGGGTGTTTACCTTTGTTGCAAAGATGACCAGCACAGAGTCTAATGGAAGAGAGCTTCCTTATAAATGGTGGTGTCATCCAAATACTCTTGTTTTCAGATGCATCGTGCTGATTGTATCAAGTCCCTGAATTCTACAGTGCTTCTTAAGTAAGATCCATAACTTCTCAAAAGAGTTCAGACTACTTATACCAGAAAAGCCAAATGAATGAAAGTGCACATAGTCCAGGCCATGATTTACAGCTGCATGGACAACCCACAGAACTAGTCAATTAGTATATTTCTTGGACAGACACTGCACGTAGACAATGACTTGGGCCTAGGACTGAACTGGAGGATGGCAAGCTGGATTGTCTCTAGGAAACTTTGCAATGCTTATAATAACTCCAGATTTCTTCCTGAAGAAAAAAAAGGAAGGGATATCTTTTCTAAAAAACATTATTCTTCTTATAATACTTTATGTATGCATCATGGAATGCCACAATCATCAAAGAATTAAAATTGAAGGTCATTCAAAGGATATATGATGGGCATCATCAGGCTTTAAGACATCATCAATGAAGAACTGTGCAGGAAAAATGGGATAAAGGATGTCTTGAGAAATATACAATCAGAAAATAAGGTGGGCAGGCCAAGTAGTGAGAGAGGGCAAACAGTTGGACCCCATGGGCTCCATTGGTATCTGTGCAAAGTCAAGAGATTGAGAGGAAGGTCTCCAAAATGTTGGGTGGGTCTCCTATGGGGTACATACAGGAGAATATAAGAAAGAATTGCCTAATTTCTCTCTACATCATGGTGGTGAGTTACCTATATTGAACAACTCATTGACCCGCTGAAATAATGAAGCAACCAGATCCCCATACATGCACATAAAGGGTCAAGGCTGCATGCAACATGAAAAAATATGCTAAAAATTCACATGGTGATACCTTACAAACTTGACACCTTATAGGAATCACTTTTTTTTTATTGTACCACCATACATGTATATCATATGTGTATTAAAGGGATAGCTGTGTTTTGTTCCTATAGGGCACCGTTAAAATAACAAAAATATGGTTTCAAATATGGTGCCTAGCTACAGAGCATGTGTACCACCTGAACATATTGTTAGGTCCTGATAAAGGGAGAGATTAGCACACACGAAGACTTAAATGCAAAGAGAATGGACTTGAAAAGTTGTATGTGGATGGTAAGATAGATATATACAGATAGGGTGATATCCCTTGGGGGTGTCATGGTGCCTAGATAACCTGTTGAGGGCCCTACTAGAGTGCTTTTGTTTTATAGCAATGGTTTATAATAATAACCCTAAATCCAATAGTTTTTGTATATGATACCTTGCTTTGTTCCATAAATTGGGAAGAGGTATAGGATTCTCGGCAGCTAGGTGGCACAGTGGATATAGTCCCAGGCCTGGAGTCAGAAGACTCATCTTCCTGAGTTCAAATCCAGCCTCAGATGCTTACCAGCAAGGTGACACTAGGCAAATCATATAACCCTTTTTGCCTCAGTTTCCTCATCCATAAAATGAACTGGAGAAGGAAATGGCAAACTACTATCTTTTTTGCCAAGAAAATCCCAAATGGGGTCACAAAGAGTTGGACACAACTGAAAAATGACTAAACGAGAACAACATAGGATTCTTGGAAGTAGAAAAGGTCTGCAATGGAGGGGAGAGGAGGGGAAGATATGGAGAGGGGGAAAGAAGGAGGAAGAGGCAGGAGGAAAGGTGGAGAGAAAGAATCTGAACCCTCTAAATCCAAAAATAACAACAAAAAGAGGCAGGAATGAAGAGTCATAGAGTCTACTAATGCTTGGCAAAGATAGAAGGTATGGTGGAGAAAAGTAGCCAAGGCTACACTGAAAAAAAAAAAGCCAGAATTATGTAAGGGTTATTATATAGAGTTTTCTATTCCAAAGCAGGTTACAGAGACACTGCAGTAGTTTATCTATCTAGACAGATAGATATACAGATACAGGTATATATCAATAGCTATGTATGTATATACATGCACACAGACACAGACACAGACATGCATACTAGAGTAGCTGCTTAGTTATTTTTTGCATATTTCCCAGTTTCTCTCTCTTTCTACTTTGGTAACATGAATATTTAAAGCTATAGCTTTTCATACTCAATACTTTGAAGAGCCCTTATTTGGCAGAAGGGTGTGGGACAGAGCAACTCCACAGGGATAGAAAAAGAGCTGGTAGTAGACCAAGGGTCAGTTCTAATCCTTGCAGTTTAGGGCCCAAAAGGGTAAGTTTTGTTTCTCTATGAACCACAGTCAACAGACAAAAAAACCATTCCACACCCTTTGCGCTGTTGGGAAACAGGCCCAGTGGCCCTGGATGAAAGTTCTGCAGTTGTGTCTTACCCTTCCTAAAGTCTCCCTGACCCTATTTGTAAGAAATATTATTCTCTCAGTGGAAAATACTTGACAGCTACATTCCAATGCTTATTGTAGTATAGAACTTTCTTTTCACCTCACCCCATCTCTGTCTCTCTCTCTGTCTCTCTGTCTCTCTCTCTCTCTTCCCATCTCTTCATACTCCAACCTCTCCAGTACAAGAATCACCTTGTCACAGACAAAAAATGTAATATTTTGTCTCATTTTAAAAGTTTATATTGTAAAAGTAAAATTTAGCTGTTAATTATTTCAAAGACTACATTTAGCTAAGTGTTAGGTTCTATAGAATTTTTCATGAACAAAAATAATAGCCTTTATGACTGAGTATTTAATAAATGTTTCCCTTAAAAAAATAAAATTCCCTGGGTGCTCATGGCACATACATATTTCTACAAGTGACTAGCTAGCAATAGGGCACTATAGGGTAAAGCTAAAAGAAGGACTCATCAGATAAACTCTCAAGTTGGAGTGAATGAGAACACACACACACACACACACACACACACACACACACACACCCCAATACAATAAGTAAAAGGAAAAAAGTGAGTAGTGCTACTGTTGGTGAGCAATATGCTGGTTTCAAGTATTGGGGCTGTAAGAAGTAAATCTAGTTCCCTACTATACCTTATACAAAAATTGGGAAAACTACAGGAGGCTTTAAATAGATTGTGAGATATCACAATTCCTTTGAAGTTTGTGTTTCCCAAATTACTCACCCCCAAGAAAAATATGGAGGTGGGAATGGGGATATTTCTGGTCTTTCCTCCTGTCCCTGTCAGTGTAATAATGGTGAATCATCCATATTTCCAACTCAATGAAATCTGAATATTTCTGGTATGACTGGATTGGTCAAAATATATACCTTAACAATTACTGCCTCAGGGAAGGAAAAAGGCCAGGATACAGATTCTCCTCTAGCTAAGGGGCACCACAGCCTGACTTTTGGACAGCTGTGAAACAGTCTCAGGGATGAGGCATATAACTATGGAACCCATCCCACGCATGTAGACCTTTTCCACTCCTGACTCACTGCTACTTTTTCTAAATCTTATTGACTTTTCTTTTTGATTCTTGCACATTGCAAAGCTAGATTTATTTTGGTAGCCTGGCCTTGTACCCAGTTTGGAGTCACTGCTGAGCTGCTCAAAACCACCCAGTCACCAACACTTTCCTCTAAAATAGAAACTTTGAAATATTACTGTGACATTCCACCGACCAGAGTAAAGAATTTTAGTTGGTTATGGGGAGCACACACAAATCTAATAAGAAGTAGAACAACAAAGGAGACAGAATATATAATTAGGAATTTATTCATTTAAAGCAAATTATTATTAAATTTATTATTAAGAATTATTAAAGCATGATTCAGTGTAATTCTTGCCTATTGTGATTTAGTGTTTCTACTAAATGTAGAAATTTCCTGTGGAGGAACTTTATTTACATTTCTTTTTGTTGGCTTTTCTGGGGGGACCATGTGGTCTGGGAAGTTCACGAGTCAATCTTTTTTAGACCAAGTGACAAAACCATTCCAAAGGAAATCAAGACAACCTGGTGGGGCAGCACCCAAACAGAGCATGGGAACTCACTGTCATGAAATGTAATAGAGTATGTCTGTCTCTCACCCCTTTGCCAACCAGACATCCTTGCTCCCTCTTGTAAAAATCAGTCACTTAGGTTGTTCCCCTGTCACAAATAATCATCCACTACTGTGTCAGACTCTGCCACAAGCAAATTCAAGTGACATCCTGACCGCTGTCAGCCCTAGGGAAGAATGGAGCCAGGTAGGTTTTTAGCTAGAGAAATTCCAAAAGCCACCCCAAAATACCTATAAGGCAAGGGTATGTTGTGGGGGGCACACAATTCCTTAAAGAGTCTTTGCTAGGATATCTAATAGGGAATCCTCCTGATGTCCAATCCCCTGAGGAAACTGGCTGAATTATTTGCAACCTCTGCTAGAGGGAGTGTGGTATAGTTCATACTGCCTGATTGCTTTTTTTTTTTAAACTATCAGTTCATCAGAAATCAGTTGTCTACCATTTCAGTTACAGGGCACTAATATCATCTAATTACTCTCTAATTATCTGGTAATTTAATAGCATACACAACTTCACAGTAACAGGGAATGACACAAGGTACAAAGTAAAAGTAATTAGAAAATCATCAGTTTAGGAGGCAGACACAGGCACCTGAATCCACCTAGACTGGGGGTGGGCAAAGGGTTTGTTTGATGAATTTGCTCTTGGTCAAAACTCGAAAATTTAAAAAAAAAAGACCTTCTAAGAAACTCACAAGTCTTTGGACAATTAACTGAAGCCATGCAGACTAGATAACACACCTGTAAATCAACTCTTTAATTGGATTTGGGAAATACATTAATAATCTGTAATTTAGCTCTTCGATTTCTTACCCTATCTCTTCCCATCCCTAACTTTCAAATCACAGAAAAAACAAAAGTAAAAATATCTTAAGAAACTGATTCTCCAATGTCTGGGACAAAAAAGAGACACCAACCACTTTTCCTTAGTGTCTCCCTCAGTAAGTGCTGAAAACATGTTCAATTCAGAAATACTAGGCCAAATAAAAAAGGACCACAAATTAAAAATCCATCATTCCCATGCAGTAAACCTGCTTCTAATTAAATCTAGCACAAAATGTTACTTCATTGCTTTCACAAGAATAGGGAAGAGGCTTTTAAAAAACAATTTAAATTTGGGTCTAAATTCCGAAGCATCCAATCAAAACTAGAAGACTCTAGTAATCCTTTATTGAGAATACAGAAATGGTTAAATGTTCATGAGCATACTTTAGGGACACTTCTATTTTGTTCAATGTGAAATCAGAAGGAAAAAACAATAATCCTAAAGCCTGAGTTAAACAGATTCTATATTTTTGAAAATGAGGGGTTTATGGAGGAAGAGGGAAAAAAATAAAATGAAGGGTTTACATAAAGGTCAGATGAAGGAAGAACATTTAAGTCCAGCACTTATTTGCTCTTATCCTGGGGATGATGGTGAGCAGAACAACCCACTTTTCTTGTTCTGAGGCTTTCTGGGGGTTGGCATAGGGAGTGGGTATTGAAACACACACCTGAGTGGAAGTATGCCAGCTATGCTGGAAAATACATTGCATCTCTAGTTCTAATGTTGCCCCTATGCTGGCTTCATGCTGTAGGCCTGCCTTATTACATGGCCCCATTTCAGTAATTAAATCCTTCTGGTTGGGGTCCAACAAAGAGCCACCTCTTATCAAATTCTGCACTTTGTCCAAAAATGTTGTCTTGAGATTTCTGCACTCCCTTTTCTTAGGGTCTTGCTGAAGACAATTGTGTTAAGCAAAGGGGCCATTCAAAATAAGGCAAGTGAGATCGGTGGGACTCCCAATTTGCGGAAGAGATTCAGCTCACAGTCATCTTAACCTTAAAGAGATTTGTCTGTTTCGATAATGTTACATGTGTATTTATGCGTGTATATATAGATCTATATTTAAACTTGTGAATTTTTTTTTTTTTTGCAAATGACAATAGTGGTGACCAAGCTTAAATTCTAAAAGGCATTCCTATAGTACTTGGCAAGTTGCAATATGTTCCTTCTCAAAGTGAACTGTTCTTTCCTGTGCTGGGTACAGTCACAAAGTTGTTTAATCCGTGCCCAAGATGCAGAGCAGGGGGAGGGGGTGAGGAAGGCGTAAAAGAAATGGAGGGGAACATCACCCATTACGCTAGATCTTAAGCAACACATAGAAAAAGCCAAAGACACACTTAAAAATAAGGAAAGAAAAAGCACAGCAGTCACATTCCACTTCCAGTTAAATCGCTGTGTTCTCCCTCTTCCCCTTTACATGAGGGCAAAGACGCCAAAGTCATCAGTAATACCTCACTTATTAATCAGACTATGCAAACCATTTTTTAGCTGCTGCTGCTGCCACCACTTTTATCTCAATGGCAACCAATTTCATTTTTCTTTTTCTTCTTTTTCCCCTATGAGACATTTCCTAAATTGCCAGGTTAAGAACTGCCTGGACAAATTGGAAAACCAAACGGTCTTCCATTCAGATCTAAACGGTTTCAAGAATGAATGCGACTTATTTTGCTGGTTTCATCCTCATCAGTTGACATGCCATGATGTCAAAAGATGTCACAGTCTTCCCTAAATTTCCTCCCCATTTTCTGACGTAATATGGTGACATGCCCCACAACTAACAGCACTCAGTATTATCGGGGGGGACCCCTGTGTCTGTCAAGCCTCCTCCATTTGGAGCCTGAGTTCACTCATCAGCTTCAAGTGGGTGTCATAAGGAGCTTTACACCCTATTGAACAGATACAATTGACTGTATAAATGGCTAGCAACCTAAAAAAACCCCGGTCTGGTGCATGAAGGATTGGCAGAGCACTCACAATGCAGCTGGGGGGCGACTTCTTGGTGGGGTGGGATGGGACACTCTTCTTCAGTGGAAGCCTCAGATAACCGCTTCACCTCCTGACCAAGTCTCTATTTCTCTATCCCTATAAAGGCCTCACAGTGTCACTTTCCAAGCAGGGGGGTGGGCGTCACCAGGTCCCTGATAGGACATCCAGAGCGGCAGATTTTCTTCCAATTCTGATTCCCTCTCCCTTGACGTGGGTCCCTTACCCAGGCCTCGAGGCACGAGACTGATGCGTCAATGGGATAGCGAGGTGTCCTCCAAGCCCAGCAACTCCTTTATGAGTCTTTCCCCAAACTGTGCCCGACTGTATCTCTTCACGTGGTAGGCCTCGGACATCTTATACAGGATGTAGGCATTATTGATCGCGATGCTGATGGCAAACCAGAACACCTGTTGCCAGGTCTTGTTTGGTTTATGAGAAATGAAATACCTGAAAAGGCAGATAAGACAAAGTGAGCCATAAATCGATGGGTCTGGTCACATAGTCGGGAGAGGGGTATTTAAAGAGAGTCTAAGTTTTTCAAGGATAGAAACCTTGTTTTATAATAATAACCAGCATTTAGAGAGTGCTAGATATTCTACAAAATGATTTACAAGCATTGTATCCTTTGATCCTTCTTCAATATATTTCCCACAAGAATATATTCTTTTAGAACAAAGTATAAAGTACATAGCACAGAACAAAAGAAAACTTAGAAGGAACAAAGAAAAGATGGAGAATTCTCAACACAACACATAGTATTTATTATAGAGGCCTTCTTGAAATGGAAATTTATTGCTATGTATTTTGAATCTTCTCTTATGTTTTTCTGTGCACATGACATGTTTTTTTCTTTTGTATTTAAGTTTCAATATTTAAGTTTATGTTTATGTATATTATTTATTTTTATATTTATTTAGATATACATATATAATATAATATAAACATATTTATAATATGTTTCTTATTGTGTACTTAAGTTTTAGTAATAAAAAAGAAAAAATGAATAAAAAACAGAAAAAAAGAATAGCAGCTTTTTGAACAAAGTAAAAAGTGTATAGCAGAGAACAAAAGAAAATTTACAAGGAACAAAGAAAAGATAGACAGCTCTCAATACAACATGTAGTATTTATTACACAGGCTTTCTTGAAATGGAAATTTATTGCTATATATTTTGAATCTCCTCCTATGTTGTTGTGCACATGACATGTTTTTTTTCCTTTTCTTATTTTGTATTTGTTTCAATATTTAAGTTTATAATATGTTTCTTTACGTTATTTATCTTATTTATTATATTATATATTATTCATATTATATAATATAATATAAACATATTGTTTATAATATGTTTTTTATTGTGTGCTTAAATTTTAGTAATAAAAAAGAGAAAATAAATAAAAATCAGAAAAAAAAGAATATAAGCTTTTTGAATGTGAAGATGATTTCATTTTTGTTTCTGGACCCCCAGTCCTGGCACATAGTAGGCACTTAATAAATAGTTACTTGTTGATTGTATTCTCTCAAACACCTTATATAATTCTGGATAAATAGCAAATGCTCATTGAATGAATCATTAAACAAGAAAACAATCTTCTCTGAATAAGCTGTGATTTCCAATTTATTACCTTATATTCTAATGAATATCTATTCTCATCTATGGTTAAAGTCAGATTATCTGCACCAAGTATGTTTGGGAAATCCCCATATCTTATGCCCTTAGATAGACCTTCTAGGTACTTGCTGACCCCAGCTTACCCTGAAAAAAGTACAGAAAATTCAAATTTCCCCAACCCTAGATAGTTGAGTAAATGATCAATTGCTCTTTGGCAGTAGTCCAACCTTGAGCAGAGCTTAGAAACATACCCATTATAATTCACTATCATGTTACTATTCAAGAAATAATATTTATTTAGCTCCTTTAATAAGAGTAGACAGATGGTGCAGCAGATAAAGCTCTGGGCCTGGAGTCAGGGACACTTGAGTTCAAATCCAGCCTCAGACACTTACTAGCTGTGTGACTCTGGGCAAGCCACTTAACCCTGTTTGCCTCAGTTTCCTCATCTGTAAAATAAGTTGGAGAAGGAAATGGCAAATCACTCTAGTATCTTTGCCAAGAAAACCCCAAGTAGGGGGATAGGAGTTGGACATGACTAAAACAACTAAACAAAAAACAACAAAAAGCTTTAATATCAAAGTGTTGTGCTGAGTGCTAGGGATAGCGTGTGTGTGTGTGTGTGTGTGTGTGTTGTGTGTGTGTGTGTTTGTGTGTAGGGAACTGTCAGAGAAATGACAGTTTCTTCCACTGACAGTTTGGTTCGAAGGACATGTTGGAAGAACAGCAGTATGGAGATTAAGTACCAAGATGAATAGCCTACAACAGTGGTTCTTCCTAAAACCCTTTTCAAGGGGCCCACAAGGTTAAAACTATCACTGACACATTTAATTTTTTAAAAACAGGAATTATCAATAGATATAGTCCCACATAAACAAAAGCTCTTTGAAGGGCACTCTATAGTTTTTAAGAGGATAAAGGAGTTTTGAGACTAAAAACATTGAAGACTACTGGTCTAGACAGTGAATGCTACATGTAGTCAAGTGAAAGAGGTGATAGCATATGAGCTGAAGAAGTCAGGAAGACTTTGTGGAGAAGGCAGGATACTTACTGGGTCTTGAAAGATGGGTAGGATTTAGCTGGGTAGAAAAGTGAGGCAATGGAGTTGGGTGTTACAGACCTTTCCCCAGCTTGGGGAGCTGGGATGTGTGTGCAAACAAAGAACAGAATGACAATGGCTTGGAACTGAGTATAAGCATGATGTGAATAGGGCAGAATGAAGCCATATACCTGACTGGTATGTGTCTTTTAGCTTGCAATTTATTTATTTATTTATTTGTTTATTTTAGTGAGACAATTGAGATTAAGTGACTTGCCCAGGGTCACACAGCTAGTAAGTGTCATGTGTCTGAGGCCACATTTGAACTCAGGTCCTCCTGACTCCAAGGCCAGAGCTGTATCTACTGCGCCACCTACCTGCCCCCGGTATACGTCTTTTACTTGGCAGTAAAGAGAGACAAGATTGGGCAGGTAGAATAGGATGAGCTTAGAAGAAGCCATGAATGACAAATTAAAAAGTTTGGAGGCAATAGGGGCACACTTCTCTGAATTTCCTAGGTTTCCCATTTTATAACCAGAGTCATAATGACTATCTTAGGGATCTCACATTTAAATCTGGAAGAGATTTTATATGGTCCAAACCCCCAAGTTTTACAGATGAGGAAATGATCTCCAAGATGTTAAGTGACTTTTCTAACTCAAGTCACATGAGGTAGCAAGTGGCAGAGCAGGATATCTATCAATCTACTGAATAAGCAGTGGTGAGAAAATGAATGAGCATACCCATATCATGGTGGTTAAGGATTCTTTTTTTTTTTTTGCTTACTTGCTGTATTTGTCATCATATTTGCAGATATAGCTAAGGTGAGCGGCGAAAGCTTCCACAGCCAAAGGGCAGGGGATTTCTCCACTTTTCCTCTTGATAATCACTCCTGCATGGAAAAGAGAATCATTCCTTTTCTTAATTTTTTTTGTTTTTCAAAGTGGGGGAGGAGGAATATTTTCTATAAAAGATCCTAACTCTGGTCAGCTTACCATAAACAGGCCTTAATAAACAACAGCTCTAAGAAAGAAAATAAAAAGATTAAAAGAAAAACCCATCACTAAAGAATTTTGTGGAGATGAGAAAAACAAAAGGCAGATGAGCATACAGGCTAGGAGAGAAAATATGGACATTAGGTATATGGTAACATAGTGATATAAAAAAAAGTAGGGGTTGGAGAGGTATAAATTGTGCTCTGTGTGTGTGTGTGTGTGTGTGTGTGTGTGTGTGTGTGTGTGTGTGTTTGATACACACAGAGGAATCTTTCCTTCATCTTTTCAATTCCATCCCTTCCCTTCCATCCACCACTTGGGCCCCATTCCAACAATAATAAGGGCTCCTTCTCTCATCCTTTTCTTTCCTTTTTTTTTAAAAAAATATAAATTTATTTATTTTTAGTTTTCAACATTCACTTCCACAAGTTTTTGAGTTCCAAATTTTCATCCCTCCCCCCACCCCAAGATGGCATGCATTCTGAATATCCCTTCCCCTAGTCTGCCTCTCTTCTCTCTCCTCCCCCCCACCTTTTCTTAGGGCAGGATAGACTTCTGTACCCCATTTCCTGTATTTCTTATTTCCCAGTAGCATGTGAAACATTTTTTAAACATATGTTTTTAAAACTTTAGGTTTCAGATTTTCTCTCTTCCTCCCTCCCCACCCACCCTCATTGAAAAGGCAAGCAACTCAATATAGGTTGTACATGTGCAGTTATGCAAAACACTTCCATAGTAGACATGTTGTGAAAAACTAACTCTATTTCCCTTAATCCTATCCTGCCCTCCCATTTATTCTATTCTTTCTTTTGACCCTGTCCCTCCTCAGAAGTATTTACTTCTGATTACCCCTTTCCCAATCTGCCCTCCTCTCTATCATCCCCCTGCTCTCTTGTCCCCTTCTCCCCCTATTTTCCTGTAGGGTCAGATTTCCATACCCAATTGAATGTGTATGTTATTCCCTCCTTAAGCCAAATCCTATGAGAATAAGATTCACTCATTCCCTCTCACCTTCCCCTTTCCCCTCCACTGTAAGAGACTTTTCTTTTCTGTTTTTTTGTGAGATAATTTACCCCATTCTACCTCTCCCTTTCTTCTTTTCTAAGTATAATCCTCCCTCATCCCTTAATTTTATTCTCCAGATATGACCCCTTAATCTTCAACTCACCCTGTGCCCTCTATCTATCTATCTATATATACATATAATTTTTTTCCTCCAACTACCCTAATACTGACAAAGGTCTCATGAGTTATAAATATCATCTTTCCATGCAGGAATGTAAACAGTTCAATCTTAATAAGTCTCTTATGATTTCTCTTTCCTGTTTACCTCTTCATGTTCCACTGGAGTCCTGTATTTGAAAGTCAAATTTTCTATTCAGCTCTGGTCTTTTCATCAGGAATGCTTGAAAGTCCTCTATTTCACTGAATGACCATTTTTTCCCCTGAAGGATTATACTCAGTTTTGCTGGGTAGGTGATTCTTGGTTGTAATCCTATCTCCTTTGCCCTGGAATATTATATTCCATGCCCTCGGTCCTTTAATGTAGAAGCTGCTAACTCTTGTGTTATCCTGATTGTGTTTCCACAGTACTTGAATTGTTTCCTTCTGGCAGCTTGTAATATTTTCTCCTTGACCTGGGAACTCTGGAATTTGGCTATAATATTCCTAGGAGTTTTCCTTTGGGGATCTCTTTCAGGAGGAGATCTGTGGATTCTTTCAATTTCTATTTTGCCCTCTGGTTCTAATATATCAGGGCAGTTTTCCTTGATAATTTCTTGAAAGATGGTGTCTAGGCTCTTTTTTGATCATGGCTTTCAGATAGTCCAATAATTTTTAAATTCTCTCTCCTGGATCTATTTTCCAGGTCAGTTGTTTTTCCAATGAGATATTTCACATTGTTTTCTAATTTTTCATTCTTTTGGATTTGTTTTACAGTGTCTTGATTTCTCATAAAGTCACTAGCTTCCAATTGCTCTATTCTAATTTTTAAGGAAGTATTTTCTTCAGTAATCTTTTGGACTTCCTTTTCCATTTGGCCAATTTTTCTTTTTAGGGCATTCTTCTCCTCATTGGCTTTTTGGACCTCTTTTGCCATTTGGGTTAGGCTATTTTTTAAGGTGTTATTTTCTTCAGTATTTTTTTGGGTCTCCTTTAGCAAGCTGTTGACTTATTTTTCATGATTTTCTTGCATCACTCTCATTTCTCTTCCCAGTTTTCCTCTACTTCCCTTACTTGCTTCTCAAAATCCTTTCTGAGCTTTTCCAAGGTCTGGGACTGATTCATATTTTTCTTGGAAGCTTTGGATGTAGGAGATTTGACTTTGTTGTCTTCTTCTGGTTGCATATTTTGATCTTCTTTTCACCAAAGTAAGATAATATAGTCTGACTCTTTTTGTGCTGCTTGCTCATGATCCCGGCCAATTATTTGAGTTTTAAACTCTTTGTTAAGGTAAGAGTCTGCTTCCAATGTGGGGAATGTATTGTCCCAAGCTTCAGGGGTTTGTCTAGCTGTTTTCAGAGATACTTGTAGGGACCTGTAAATTTTCAGTTCTTCCAAGGTGGTATGATACAGGGCGAGGTGTTTACTCCTTTCCTGGCCTGTGACCACAAGTATTCCTTTCTGTTCTGTAACTGTGAGGAGGGGTTCCTCTCCATAGCCACTCCAAGCTCCACCATGCCAGTGTTCCTCCTCACCCCAGCACCGCTGCCCAGAACTGTGACCCAGATCCAAACATGGGCAAAGCAAGAGATTCCTGCCTCAGCACTGGCAAAGAGATCCCTGCAGTCCCTCTCTGATCAGCCACTGGATTCCCCCTTAGTCTGTGGGCCGGAAGCTCAGGAAGCAGCTGCCCCCCCCCAGGGCCACGCTCTTGGGGAATGGAGCTGAGACCCTGCCTTCCTCTCTCAGCACAGACAGAAAGAGACTTTTCCCACTGACCTTCTAAGTTGTCTGTGGCATTCATGGATTGAGGAGTCTGGAAACCTCCACAGCTGCCTGTGATTCAGTCCTCTGACGCCTGCTCCAGGGTCACTGCGGCCTGCACACCCAAGCCGTGCTGCGCTCCACTCCAAGGCCTGTGCGATACACCTTTCTGATCGATCATCTAGGCTGTCTTGGGCTGGAAATTTGTTTCACTCTGTCTTTTTTGTGGGTTCTGCTGCTTCAAAATTTGTTTAGAGCCATTTTTTATGAGTATTTGGAGGGGTTTGGGGGAGAGCTCAAGGAAGTCACTGCTTTCACTCTGCCATCTTGGCTCCGCCCCCCTCTCATTCTTTTCCCATCCATCACAGGTAGATACTCAAAATAGCCATCACATGTGGAATTTAAGGGATGCCGTTGTTCGTCGTTTCATTCTTGAAGAGGATCGACAACACTACCAAGATGATGTCTTGACTTGTGTGTGAATTGGATTAAAGTGAGGCAGAGCTGTGCAACGTTGTTAGCCTCACTCTCTCCTCCAGAGTCATCAGAGTCCAGAGGCAAGACAAAAGTCAGGACTGGTGATGGCCCAGCATGCAGTGGCTGACTTGGCCTTTCTCAATTAAGGTCTTTTCCAGATCTCAGTTTGTCTGAGGCCACACCCATTCAATGACTAAGGGTGAGGTAATGGAAAGGCAACAAAGGTGGCACCTGCTTAGAGGTGGAAGCATAGTGTTAATATCACTTGAAAAAGTGAACCAGAATTACCGATGTCTTCCTCCATTTGCCTCCTTCTCCAGCCTTACATGGGTCACTTTAATTTAACAAACATTTATTCAGCACTAACTATGAACAAGGCACTGTTCAAGGCTCAGGGAATACAAACACATACAACAGTACCTGTCCTCAAAGCACATACTTTCTACTGTGGGGACGGGGATGGAGTAGAGAGAGTGGAAGAGAGATATGCAACACACACACAGAGCTAAATAGAATACAAGATAATTTAAGGGGGGAGAGGCACTGATAACTGGGGGGGATGTGGTTTATTGGGGTTTACTAATAACTGGGAATTACAAAGAAAGTTTCACAGAGATCCCGAGTTGAGCCTTGAAGATGAGGATTCTGAAAAGTAGAGATGAAGAAGAGACTGTGTTCAAGGTATGAGAGAATTCTTGTGAGTATACAGTCATGGGAGATGCATTGTCAAGTTTGGGGAATATTTTAGTAGTGGTTAAGAATCTAGAATGCATGAAGGGTAGTAACATAGAATGAGGCTGGAAAGGTAGGTTGAATCCAGATCATGAAGGGCCTTGAGTCCTGGCTAAAAAATCTGCATTTTATCCTAGGGTCATTTCCAATCTATGGACCTGTGATGCCCTGGGGATGAGGGACAAGGAGTAATTACAAGTCTAAGAATCTATATTGCAAAAAACAAGAACAAAACCAACACTCCAATGCCTTTAGTTCGTGTAAATGTTTTGTGCATATACTTATTACCTTTTTTCAAATGTATGTAGATGCTGTTGGGATAGATAAAATAAAAGTTCATCTAAAAGCATCAAAAGCCAGATAGTAGCTTTTTGCCATGATGTATTTTCTCAACAGAAATGAATTGCTAATGATAACTTTATCATATATTTAAAAGGAATAGCAAGTTATACATAATGGATGTGCAGTTTCACATGCAATCATCTTTTTTCTTATATGGAATTATTATATTATTATATGGAAATGCTTGTTTTATTCCATAAATCTAAAAATAAACAAATAAATAGGAAAAAAGTGTTTGTGTGTACATTGATGATTGTTAAACATAACAAAAATAAAAATGTCATAAAAAAAGAAATAAATTGTTAGTATCACATAAGGGCCTGTGAAATTTTTGGACATTAAAAAGGGTTTCTCTCACTTGAAAAGGTTGGATACTGTTGTTTAGAAATTGAGAGGCACTGAAGTTAATTTAACCGGGAGT